GATAAGAGAAAAAGACATTCAATAATTCTATGGTTTACTGGAAACCTTTATAAACTTTTTGGATGAAACAGAAAAAGATGAACTTATGGCTTATGGTTTTGATAATTTAAAAATAATTATAGAAGTAAAAATTATGATGCAATCATAGAGTAAGAGGTAAATTTATATTACATTGAAAATAATTATAAAGAAAATTGGAAACTGCTTCTTTAGACTTTTTTTCCCCCTTTTGTGCACTTTTGGCTTTGTTTCCTCTTTTTCTCCTCTTCTTTTTTGTTCTATATATTATTTACTGTTTTTATCTTTCTTTATAACAATTTTAATAAAGTTTTGCTATTCCTAAAACCAACGGCCAATTTTTACCCTTGGGTTTCTGTAGAAATCTGAAAAAATTAAGTGACCTCTAGAAAATGCTGGTGTAAATAACAGTTCTGAGATGTTATGATTGGAGAAATCAGGGAAAGGGGTAAAAAATAAGTAAATCAAAGAGAAAATAGTGATTTCAATTGTATTGTTGAAATCAGTGGTGGGATTCAAAAAGTTTTACCACCGGTTCGGTGGGCGTGGCTTGGCGGGCATGCTTTGCACATGTGCACACATTTTGCGTGCGCGTGCCAAACATGCACTTTGCGCAGGTGCAGAGGTGTTTGCGCAGGCGCAGTGGTATTCCAACTCACCTCCTGCAAGCCTGCACTCTCCCAGTCGCTTCAGCAGCTGCGGCGCAGCACTCTGCTGTGCCGTGCAAAGCAGCTGTGCTTCAAAAGCAGAGGATAAAGGTGTGTATGGGAACCTGGGTGGGCGGGCCCAACAGCAGAGCGGCAGAGAGACCTGGTTTGGTCTCCGCTGCTTATCGCCGCTACTGGCTCAGCAGAACCGGGCCGAATCTGTAGAATACCGCCACTGGTTGAAAGCCATCCCTTTCTGTGTGTCACAGGTCAGAATTAAAAAGGGTGGGGTTTCAATTGTGTAGTTCCAGTCTGCACACAAAAGGGATGGACTTCAACTATGACCTTGAGGTTTTGTTTTTTCTAAATCATTTCATTGTGGATGCCTTTAATTGTGATACTAAATCTGGAGGGTGTATCTGGACAAGTAAGACCAGCCTTTCACCATGCCACGTGGGAAGATTTGCAGCAATGGTGCAGTGATGAAATCCCTGCCTTCTCTATGTTTCTTTCTGATACTAGATTCACACATCACACAAAGGTATAAGGCAGTTTACTGGCTTTGGCTTGAACAAGCAAAGCAATATCCATAAACTATGATCAAACAAACCTGTAGATATATTGGGACTACAATTATAGAACTTCCAATTATATTATATTGATTGGGAATTCTGGAAGATGTAATTGCAACACATCTGGAAGTTTCCCAGTAGGGAAGACTAGATTGGTGTTTCCTTGGCTGAGTTAGAAGACAAGGCATACAAATTTCTAATTCCAAGGAAGCATTATTTTTCTTTGGTGAAGCAAACTGTTGGCAGTTCTGAGTGAGGATTATGATCCTGTTATTAATCTTTTCTTTATGGCATCTGTAGTCTTACATATTTGTTCATTTAGAAATCTGACTACTGTTGGCCAAATGTGCTTCCAGTCCCTATAAATCTTCTGTTGTGCAACCCCTTGTGTAGTTGCTGGAATCTTACAGTTTGCGTGATCTGGTCAAACAAAAGTTGTATTTCATTGGCAAGCTTTCTATATTTTCCCACTTCAACTATTTCTGCTGCACTGTTCATTTCTCCTTCCATTGCTAAGGAGAATGCAAAATAATTGCTGCATAATATCTTTTGATTGTTAATGCTAAGGTGTTTTTGTTTGTAAGCATCTTTAAAGTGAGGTAAAACATACAGAGCAGAGGTTCCTCTAGTGGAAAACTATAATTTTTTTGACTTTAAAAAAATATCTAACTGAAACTTTTCCTGCTATGAGGAAAAATATGGTATTTTGAAAGTGTAACAAAATGTTGAAAACATACCTTTTGCTCACTCTACAAAAACATCATAGTGATTGCTTTTTCGTATCACTGAAATCTTCAAAATTTTATTTGGTATCGTTATAATGCGCAGGTGTACTAGAATTTAATTTTACTTTTTCTCTGCAATGTTTCTCTGCCCACGATAATTAGTGCAGCACATTTTTTGTGTGTATGCTATATGCTACCCAAACTAATAAGAGTATTGCATTTCATACTATGTTGGGGAAATAGAGGAATAAACATGTTTGTATTAGGGGTGTGTTTTCTCTCCCTGTTCTGCATAAACCACAATGTGGTACTTAATCTTGGAAACCAGGAAGCACAAAATGTTTCTTTTGGTAGAAATTAAGGTAGCTTTCCTACCAGGATTAAAAAAAATAGCAAAATAGGCTGTTCTCTGCTCCCTGACACGAGTCACAAAGCAAATAAGCAGAGGCTCAAAACAGGGATGTACACATAGAAGAAAGATGGAATTTTTTTGTTAATTCTCTGACCGATTTGCTGAATATTATCTAGATGTCATAACACTCTATTTGTTAAATACAAAATTGTTATAGTCAGCCATTTTATTGCCAAATAAAAATGTTCCTGTTTTAGTTATCTTTCAGTAAAATAAATATCTGATTGGATAATCATGCTTTAAGTTGTCAGTCTCAACCTATAAATGACTTGTTCTAAAAACTTTCTTCCTCCCTCCCTCCTCCCCCCCCCCCCTTTCTTTTTAGAGGGTACTGACTAGGAAAAGAGATTAGTAATAAAAAAAAGAGTAGTAAAACTGGATTGTGGGCCATAAAGAAAAAAAAAAAACAGAGGAATCTGCATCTCTATGTGTATAGATTTGATGTAAAGAGAGTATAAGCATTTGTATATATGATAACATGCTTACTGCTTTTACATAAAAATATTTCACAACAGTTTGGTTTGTAGAAATGTTCTCCATCTGTTCAGGAGTATATTGTCTAACACAAGGGCTAGAGTCATGACTTTTAGAAAAATGACCTCTCAAAAATTTAGGTCTGAAATCCTGTGCCTAATTATTTGCAGCTTTATGAGGCAAATATCCTAAGGCTACCAATGGGCTATTAATCAAATATCCCAAAATATGAAAGAAGTGTGAAGGAGAAATGAAGATGCGATCCTATTTCTTATTCCTTTTTATAAAGAAGATGCAAAATCAAAATCGGCAACACGCAGTCTTTTTTGTATTCTGTTCTAAATTTCATCATGTTTGCAGTGAATGTATTCATCTCCTCTTGGACATGTTATCTATTCTAGCATTTTCATATAACATCACAAATGACCCAGAAACTTTCTGCCACCCCCATGAAGAGAACATGTGTGTAAGCCTTGGGTCTCTTTTATAATCTCCCTCCTCTGCTTGGCAGGTTAAACGGAAGCACAGATGTGCATGTAGGGTTTTTTCTTTTCTTTTTGCTTCAGTAAAAATTTCTATATCCATATCTCCCCATACCAAGAAGCAGAGGAATTATTATTTCAATAAAGCAGAAAAGGTGATATACTGGAATTGGTGTGTTTATATTTCTACATTGAGTTGTTGTTCACTAAATTGCTGTCACCTCCCCAGTTTAAAAGGTTTTAACTTTCCATAAACAGATCTTGTCTTAGATCCACAGAATGCAATTGCAAGATCCTGTTAAATAATAAAGAAGATTAGAGTCATGGACTGTCTTCTGTTGATAGGGAGATATATATTCCTAGCTGTTGCAAGGAATGTTTTCATATATAATCAGAACTAGCACCAGGTGTAACTTTAACCTTCCTTCCTTCCTTCCTTCCTTCCTTCCTTCCTTCCTCCCTCCCTCCCTCCCTCCCTCCCTCCCCCCTCCCTCCCTTTTGAAAAAATTCACAAGTTTTAAAATATTACAAACTACATGTGGATAAGATAGGATAAAACAGGATCAACAAAAGCTGATTAAAATAGCATGAAGTCTAACACCCTGGGCAAAAACTTTTTTCTCAACATTGTAGAGCTATCAGGCTGAGTACCAATGGTTCTTGTGTCTGGGAAGGGTGTTTCAAAATTAGGGTGGGGAGGTAGAAAAACTGAACCAATCATATTCTGGCTCATCACCTGTCACTTTAAAGAGTTTTCCAAATTTAAAAAGATAAAAGGCTGTCCTTAGTTGGTCTAGCCTGATCTTGTAGAACTATGGAGGTAGATGATATGGAATGTTTCCTCAAGCAGAATAGAAAGACAGATGATTTTCTGGACTGGGTGCCTTCATCAAAGTGGATTGGTAAGAAAAGTTGTATCTTTTGTAATTTGAATTGAATAGAAAGATACTATTCATAAGTAATCTCTCTGATCTTCTAAGAGAACGTTATTGCTCCAAAGTAGCTACAGGCCTCGATCTGTGTCAGTCTTATTTGTCAGATACGTAAATCCTGAGCTTGTGAGCAGTCCTTACCAGAGTTTTACTCTTTGCCCTGACTCTCTCTGTTCTGCCTTTGGGTTATTAGTTTAATTCACACAACGTTCACAAGCATAAACAATATATGAATATGAGTATGTGTCTGTTAAAAATGTTAACAGTATTGTGTTCTGACAAAACCTAATTACTTTCTTCCAACTGATAAATTATCCTGACCTTTATTAGTATGCATTTGTTCAAAACTAAAACTTACTCAGTGAACTATGAACAGTTCAACATTGGAACTAATGACCCAGAATGGCTCCCCTTGATTTGGTTATTTTCAGGCAGAAACTAGACAGTCATCTGTCTGGAATGTTTTAATTTGTATTATTGTGTTGAGCAGGGAGCTAGACATAATGGCTTTTTCCAATTCTAGGATTCTCTGATTCTTGTCAATATCCTTTTGAAATGCTGCTGCAGAGGTTAGTGCCCTGGAGAAGATGCTCCAGGGCACTAACCCTGTATATCTTCTTTTTTCAGGAAAGTCTTAATAGTGTAGCTGCTGCCAGCCAGCAGTTGCCTTCTCAAAGAGGTGATAGAAAAGAGGTAAATGCAAGTAATTGTTTTTTTAAGTCTATTCTTTCTCTTTAGGGTGGCCACTGATCATAACATCGACAATACAACTGCCATGCTGAGAGAATGGTTGAAGAACGTACAAAAACTCTACCACTATGTCGAATGGAGGCCAATGGATGACCCTCAGTAAGTATTGCAGCAAATTTCTAAGTTACTTGGTGGAACAAGTGTCAGCACATTAAGCTTGGGGATGCAGGTTGGGATTAAAATTCTTGGCTAACCTTAGATATTTTGAAAATATGGTGGGTTTTCCTCTCCCTAAAATCCTCCTGATGCTTGCTTAATGGGCGGCGAATTGAGAATTGGCTCTCTACGACAGTGATCCCCAACCTTTTTGACGCCGTGGCCCGGTACCAGCATCAGCTGGGCGCCGCCATCTTTTTTTGACGAAAAAGTGCTTCCGGTGACCTCACCGGAAGCACTTTTTCGTCAAAAAAGATGGTGGCGCCAGCGCTTCCGGTGAGCTTTTTCGGGTAGAAATGGCTTTCTACCCGGAAAAGCTCACCGGAAGCGCTGGCGCCGCCATCTTTTTTTGATGAAAAAGTGCTTCCGGTGAGCTTTCTACCCGGAAAAGCTCACCGGAAGCACTTTTTTACCAAAAAAAGATGGCGGCACCCAGCAACCAGCAGCCCGGTAAGACTTTTTCCGGTCCGCGGACCGGCGGTTGGGGACCCCTGCTCTACGATACACATACAGAAGTTTTATTGGATTGACAAGTAGGGAAAAAATGGGAGATTCCACAATCTTCTCTCAGCCTGCCCTCTTCCCCACTAGCTATTTCATTCAACACGGAGCTGTCTCCAAAAATGGTGTCTGATATCATGCTACCTCCATGAAGTCCAGTCAGATGTGCCAATGGACTTTTCCAAATCTGGCTACAGCCCTGGGGGAGTTCTGGACAATTCCAAGGATAAGTTTGATTGGCTGTTTGGAGGAAAAGATGGCTTTTGGAGCTTTGTTTCAGCTGTAGCTCAACTTTTTCAGCCTGCTGGGACAGGAGGGAGGGAAGAGCAGAATCTACTAAACTATACCTCTCCATTGGCCCTGCTGTTCTAAGGACAGTTGTTCTAATTCAGCACATGACATTGGAGAGTTATTTATATAGGGTAAGGTGTTCCTGGATTGTGGATTCCTGCTACTACATCAATAGCAATAGGAGTAGCACTCTGATTTATATACTGTTCTATAGTGCTTTACAGCACTCTCTGAATGGTTTATAACGTCAGCATATTGTCCCCAATAATCTGGGCCCCCATTTTACCGATATCGGAAGGATGGAAGGGCGAGGCAACCTTGAGGCGGTTAGGATCGAACTCCTGGCTGTGGGCAGAGTTAGCCTGCAATACTGCATTTTAACCACTGCGCCACCACAGCTCCACTGGCATATGTGCTCAGTAGTGTGGTTAGCTTGTTGGTATTAATGGATGTCCTGGTGAAGAAAACACCAGCAAAGCTTGTGTCAGCTGAAAAACATGACACATGACTTTCATCAAAATGACAAAGGCAGGGAGGTAATGATGTATCTCAAGAGCTATCTGTTTGGGGCAAATAGCGTAACATTGCAACAGGTATAGAGAAAGGAATGAGGCTTGCATTGTAAAACTGCAATGCCTCTTGTTCCTCTCTCTGGTCCCCTGTTTACCTCCTATGGATGCTGGTACAGTTAGCAATTAATTCTCTGTTGTGTCATTATTTTCTGAATTTCTACTGAATTTTTGATACAAATCCACACACAGCTATATTCTAATCATTATTTAATTGAAGGATAAAACTATTGCTGTGTACGGTAAGGCTACCAATGGCCATTAATCAACTGATTATATTTTGCCACCAGCATTGGGAGCCACAAATCTTTGCGTCGGAAATTCCAGAAGGCATTCAGGGAACCGAATGTCAATCCAAAAGGCCTCTGCTTTGATCTTGCATGACTCATATTATACCCTTAACCTCTTTCAATCTAGAGTAGAAATTTGCCAGGAAAATTTGCTGTGCCAGGCTTCCGTGCCAAATCTTGGCACTACTACAGAACACATCTCCTGTTCAAAATGCCTAAGCAGGATATTGAAAGTGTGCGTGATTTTGTTTTTGAGGTTTGCACCACACTAAATTTTCTGTCTCTCCAGGAAAGTAGTAGTAAAAAAACAGGACCACCTAGACCAGATAAACTTTAGCTGTGTGTGTAGAATCTGTTTTGTTAACCACTGTTGCAATTTGCAGGTAATGGTGGAATAATATAAGGCCCAACCTTATGGGCACCAGTGACCATCAAGAGAGGTTTTTCCACGGTTTGGAGGGGATGTGGTTGGTATGCTGCCTGCATCCCACAGATGGGGTTTCACTTGTTTGCGCAGCCCAGTGCGAGGCCATGGACTGGGGGTTGGGGACCCCTGATATAAACAGTGTGCACAATTATTAGGCAAGGGAATCTTTTGACCATATCATCATTTTTACATATATCTTCCACTCCAAGCTATGTAAAATTGAATACTTATTGGATATAAGCGTATGAGGTGGTGTAGCCTATAAGGAGATCAACACCCTATATTAAGGTGTGCATAATTATTAGGCAGATTCTTTGCCTCAGGCAAAATGGACCAAAAAGAGATTTAACTGACTCTGAAAAGTCAAAAATTGTTTTTTTAAAAAAATGCATTCAGAGGGTTGTAACATTCTTGAAATTGCTAGGATACTGGGGCATGATCACAAAATCATCAAACGTTTTGTTGCAAATAGTTAACAGGGTTGCAAGAAATGTGTTGAGAAAAAAAAGACACACATTAACTGCCAAAAATTCGAGAAGAATCAAACGTGAAGCGACCAGGAACCCATTATCCTCCAGTGCTGTCATATTCCAGAACTGCAACCTACCTGCAGTGCCCAGAAGTACAAGGTATTAAGTGCTCAGAGATATGGCCAAGGTAAGGAAAGCTCACCACTGAACAAGACACATAAGTTGAAACTGAGCCAAATTATATCTGAAGACAGATTTTTCAAAGGTTTTATGGAGATGAGAGTGATCCTTGACGGACGAGATGGATGGGCCCATGGCTGGATCAGTAATGGGCACAGAGCTCCACTTTGACTCAAATGCCAGCAAAGTGGAGGTGGGATACTATTATGGGCTGGTATAATTGAAGATGAATTAGTTGGACCTTTTTGGGTTGAAGATGGATTCAAAATCAACTCCCAAACCTATTGTCAATTTTTAGAAGACGCTTTCTTCAAGCAGGGTCCTGGAAAAAGTCTTCATCTTTTAAGAAACCATGATTTTTATGCAGGACAATGCTCCATCGCATGGGTTGAAGTACTCCACTGCGTGGCTAGCCAGTAAAGGCCTTAAAGATGAAAGAATAATGCCCCCTTCTTCACCTGACCTAAATCCTATTGAGAACTTGTGGGCCCTTCTCAAATGGGAGATTTACGGTGAAGTAAAACTGTACACCTGTCAGCCTTGGAAGCCATATTTTACTTGGAAGCTTCGAGGCTGCCACATTCAGTGCCTCAGAATTTGGAAGGGGGAATTTCATAGAGATGTGGAAGATTAGACTCAACAACATTCTTTCTTAAGAATGTCAAGGACATGTTACCCTGCACCTGGAGAGGAGTGTCTGGAGGACTGTCTCCAGTTGGGACAACGTTTGCTTGGACCATGTGATGGACTGGTGGATGCAAGGGATGGATCTCTGAATTTCTATTGGGAAGAGAAAACCCGGAACTCTCAGATTTGGGTTTTCCCAGATGTGCCAATATGACAACTCTAATAAAATGGAACTTTGAGAAAATGCTTGTCTCGGAGTTTATTGGGTTGGAGTTTGTTAGTTGGAACGCTGACAACACCTTTCCGAACAGTGTCTGGGAGGCTGTGGTTGCTGCTACACAAAAAGTTGATCGTCAACAGATCAAGAAACTGACAGAGTCCATGAATGGAGGGCTTATGACTCTCATTGAAAGAAGGGTGCTATATTGGTCACTGATTTTTTTTTTTTTGAAATGTCAGAAATGTTTATTTGTACATTTTGAGTTGTTTGTTTATTATTCTCACTTTAACAGATGGAAATAAACGAGTGAGATGGGCAGATTTTCATTTCTCCATTTAGTTGCATAATAATTCTGCACACTAATAGTTGCCCAATAATTGTATACACACATAGATATTCTCCTAAGAAAGCCAAAACCTCACTTTTACTTTCATATTACTTTCATAAATATTCAGGTTTGAGATTTATTAGCATTTTGGATTGACAGAGACTTCTGTAGTTGTTCAATAATAAAATTAACCCTCCAAAATACAACTTGCCTAATAATTGTGCACACTGTGTAAAACAACTATCTGTACCATGTCTATTCATAAGCAAGCTAATTGCATTCAGTGCTACAAACTCCTAGATAAATGCAGAGAGAATTGCAGCTTAAGAATATCTTTTTAAAAAGTTCTCCTGCTTTATTATTGCTGATAGCAAAGAAGGAGCCTGAAAGGTTAAAAACAAAAAACAAAACCTGTGTTGCACAGGCCTCTTTCACAGGCAGCAAGTAGAATTATTTTCAGACATAGAGGTTGCAGATCAAAGCTGTTGAGAGATCTAAAAATGCTGCTTTTACCCTGCTGGATCCGACTAGAAAAGAAGTAGCCCACATTCTGCTTCTTGGTCAGCCAGTGATTTCTGGGAATGTACAATGTGGGCTGTTGCAAATGATGGTTATCCCATCATTTATTGTGCACCTGGTGGTATTTCTATACGGAGCTTTCTCTCTTCATAAGCAGTTTGATAACTATCTTTTGCCTGTGACTTTTCATATTCTTTTATCAAGCTGTTTATTCTGTAAAAGTCCACCCCTGGATGAAATTCTGCATGCAAACTTATGTATGATGTACCAACCTAGAGTGCCAGGTCTATGGAATTAAAAAAAAACATATTTATGTACAGTTCTCCGTCATTCACAAGCACTCATATAGGACAAGCAGTGCAGTGAAGCTGTATGTTCCAGTAAGTCCTTGGTACACACTCCAGGAATAAATTTGGAAGTGTTTGTTCAGAAGCATCATTCACATTTGCTGCTCTAACCTTTTGGGAGCATTTGAGGTGACTGACTATATTTGTTCCACCTGATTTTTTAAAAATCAAAATACTGAACTAAGAAAAAAAAAAACCATACTCAGCCTGGCAGAAAACACAGGTTTCTTTTACTTTCTTCATTTGTTAGGTTTTACCCCGAGGAAATTGGACCAAAGCACTGGCCAAATTCTAGATTCACTCATGTGATGAAACTGAGACAGGCTGCTCTGAGGACTGCAAGGGAAAAGTGGTCTGACTACATCATGGTAAGATTAAAAACTTTCCTTCCTTCCTTCCTTCCTTCCTTCCTTCCTTCCTTCCTTCCTTCCTTCCTTCCTTCCTTCCTTCCTTCCTTCTTTCCTCCTCTCCTCCTTTCCTTCCCTTCCCTTTTCCTCCCTCCCTCCCTCCATTCCTTCCCCACAATTCTCAGTAGACTCAGGAAGGCCGGGATTGCAATCACTACATGATGCAGAAACCCGGTATTATATGATCTCTTTGCTTAGTGATAGAAATTCCAGTTTAATTGATGTTGTACGGAATACTTCTATTTCTTCCAGAGTATGTTCCAAGATTATCACTAGGTCACCAATACATGCCTGTTATTTATAAGTTTCTCTTTTAATCCTCACTCCAACAATTCTTCCATCTCCTTATATCTCTATTCAATATTTCCAAAGCTAATGTAAATAACAATGACGACACGGAACATTTTTTACTAATCCCTTCCTGTATCTCACAAGTATTCTTCATTTCCCATTCCCCATTATGTGTGCCTTTTGTGAAATGTACATTGATTTTGCCCGTTTTGTAAAAATCTCACCAAAGTCCTGCGATGATAGGTCTCTGATGGACATGTCTTCATTATGTTCTTTTTGCTGATTCGCAAGAATTCCAGGAGTTGTAGCTGTTAAAATCCAGTTTGGGATTAAAAGAACATCAAAACTGCTTTACTTTCAGTTGGATTTAGGTGGATAAACTTTAATGTTTTTTTTCTTTCCATTTTTCTAGTTCATCGATACTGACAATTTTCTGACAAACCCAGAAGTATTGAATCTAATGATAGCGGAGAATAAAACTCTTGTGGCTCCAATGCTTGAATCTCGAGCTCTCTACTCTAACTTCTGGTGTGGAATGACACCTCAGGCACGTATTGTTACTGTTTTATTTATTTAAACAAGATATATGAGCAAGGGAAAATAGATCGAATCCAAGAGAATTTGAATTTCTTTTTCAACTCTCAAGGGGAAAAACAAGAATGTGATTAGCATATGAATAAGATACAAATCATATGAATGAAAGATAACCCTGGTCTATCAGACTGAAGGCCCATATACTTGGGTCCCCTCAGCCTGGAAAGTCTCATCTACAAATTTATGTTATCATTCTTTCAAAGCTGTTTAGCTGCATCTTATGCAAATGGTGTTGTGGCATAGTAAAATTAAGCCATTAAGGGAAGAGTCTTAAAATATAGTAGCAACTTAGGGACCATTTTTTTCTCCTTCTCCTTCTCTAGTTTTTATATTGTACTTTCAGTCCAGTGACTTCATTCTTATTTTATGACTTTCCCTTCTGGGGATTAACTGCTGATTTACATATGAAGTTCAGATGTGCAGTTGGAATAGGATGTATCAACTGTTTTATGGGACAGGAAGCCAAACCTTCTTATGTTTGGCATGATGTTGGCTAGTTAACTTGGTTTGCATACATTTCTGGATTTATATTCCTATGAACTAGGAACCAGCCCCATTAAATCCCAGTACATTGTTGAGAGATAGCTAAAGACAGGTCAATAAAGAGAAAAAAAACAGCTTGATTCTTCACCAGAATTATGTTTCAGCTCGGCTCGACTATTTTTGTGAGTCATATTTTGGAATAGTCTTCAGATCTCCCTGTTTTTTGTATGATACCTTTGCCTCTTAGAACAATGTTGAAAAGTTGTATTTCTAGAATGTTTTGTTAGACATCTGTTTATATAACTAAAAGAACTAGTCACAAAACTAGCACAAAAGAATTGCCAGTTCATGTCAAGTACAGCTACCTAGAGTGAGATTACATTTACTGGGTTATAAATCTTCCCCTTAACCAAAGGAGAATCCCATCATTAATGATGTGATGGAATGTAATTCGGATTTCCAGGAAGGAAGAAGTGCATTCCAGAGGAGGAAGGGACATATCAGTTCAGATATTTTGTATGAGAGAAAGAGAGTGAAGACACTCCTGCCTAATAGTTCCCAGAGTGTATGCTTTATGGGAATGGCAGCATGCTTTACTTTGATAAGATTCTATCTATAGATGAGAAACAATAAAGAACCACAATATGTTTTTCTTGGTTTTGGGGAGCCTGACATATACTCTGCATTGAATGTAACAATAGTTTAGATAGCTTTCAGCTTTTTGAATAAATATATTGGCAAGCAGGATCACGGTCATTTATTATAGGCAAGAAATTTAAAAGAAGAGTTTAATACTATATATTCTTTTTTTTTTAGGGCTATTACAAGAGGACACCAGATTATCCTCTGATCAGGGAATGGAAGAGAACTGGTTGCTTTGCAGTCCCAATGTTACATTCCACATTTTTGATTGATCTGAGAAAAGAGGCATCAGATAAGCTGGCATTTTATCCTCCACACCAAGACTATACCTGGACCTTTGATGATATCATTGTTTTTGCCTTCTCAAGTCGCCAAGCTGGTAAGGAGCCATTTAAAAATTGTGAGTTCAGGAGCGTTTGGATATCCTGTAACATTATCATACGTAAAGAGAGCTTCAAAAATTTAAAAAAAAAATCATAAATAAATTTCAGCACTGTTTGAATGGTAATAGAATACTTATTGTTCCTCACATATAGACGGAATCTTGGCAACCTAAAACATACTATCATGATTGATAGTATGATGATGATTTTACAAGAGAAAGTAGATATGAAGCTGGAAATGAGGACGCCAGATACCTGAAAAATATTTTCACCTCTTCTCAATTATGGCATTTAACAGATGAACTGAGAACTGACAGGAATAGTAGTCAGCTGCTTGGCTTAGAATATGAAGATTATAAAGGAGCAGACACACACAATAATTCTCTCCACAAACAACCCTGTGGTATTAAAATGTCAGAAAATATTTCTGTTATTAATAAACTGGGCCACAACTAGACCAGATGACCAAGCTTGGATTCCTCTCTCTTTTCCCTGCTGGTTAAAAAAAGACAGATTTCTTTTTTTAAAAAGTTACAATTTATTTTCAGCTTCATACAGGGAATGCACTTCGTTTTGTCTGCAGCTTCTTAAACTGCGTCTTCTGGAAATTTTAACTGCTGCTTTCATTTTTCAGCCCACTGCAGTAACTGGGACATGTTTTATTTTTTCCCTTGTTGGTTTCAGTGGTTTCTAGTTCCCCTGCCAAGTCTCAAGAACCAAAGAAAGGACAGGTGTGTATTGGAGCACATCTTGCCTACCCATGGGACAAAAATAGCATGTCAAGCTGCAGCCGGTTCTTTGGCCCAGCCTTCTCCATCAAGGGCCCAGTGTTTCTAAAGGCTCTTGCATTCTGAGTTGGAGATGATGGTGCTGTGATGAGTCCTGTGCCCAATGTTTTGGTAGTTCGGGAGCTTCACAAGGGGTTATATTTTAGCAAAGCCAGTTGAAAATGCATAGGCTGAACAAGCCAAGGACAACTTCATTGTACAAAAACGGGCAATGCATTCACGTTCATTAGGAAGTGAGGATAGACAAATTACTCCTCACAGAGGGTAGTCTAGTTGTAATTCTTGGTTTGGCATTAGAAGCAAGCTGTTAATCTGACATGTGGAAAGCCAACTGGATTGTTTGTCCATGTAGATCAATATGCCTGCTCACCTGGAAGCTCATCTTTCAAATTAAAAGTTATGAACTTTTCCACCCAAGGCCTTAAGACATCATTTGTTAAAATGAAGTCATTGGCTGGGGGAATCTAAAACCACTTTCCCCCAACCGTAGTGTGGCTGCATCAGTGACTGTGGCAGTCATGCTGTGTAAAAGAAATGGGGTAAAATAAGAGAATAATAGAGTAGGAAGGGATTTTGGAGGCCTTCTAGTCTAACCCTCTGCTGAAGCAGAAATCCTGTATCATTTCAGACAAATGATTGTCCAGTCTCTTCTGAAAAACCTCCATTGTTTCAAGATTCTTGGGTAGATTCTATTTTAATTTTTGAGCAAGCCTCCTAAAATACAAAGGACCATTTTCAGGCATGTTCTTTTGGCAGCTCCGTTGCTTGTTCTCTTCTTAATTTGTGTTCATTCAGAGTTAAAGCCATTGTGGTTGTCCTTGCCCTCTTTCCAAGAGATTATCAAAAACTTAAGCATCTTTATGTTTATCCCTTCCATTTTCTTTTACTGCTCTGTTGGGGACACTCTTCTTTTAATTAATTTTGTGCTGCTCGAGTCTGATTGACCCTGAGCTGCTTACAAAAGTTGAAATACAGAATAAAAACCACAACACATCTAACAATAGAGTAATTGCTCATAGGCTTGCTGTACTGTAACTCCTTTCCTCCTGCTGCCTTTTTCTTTTGTCTGCATCATTGAGACAGAGGGCAGAGATCTGTTTATTGTGTTCAGTGTCATGTTTAATGTGTATGAATAACAGAGGGGACAGCTTGGCTATGTGGTAGAGGCTCTGCAGCCTTTGATCCTTTAGAACAGTGGTTCTCAACCTGTGGGTCACGACCCTTTGTGGGTCGAACGATCCTTTCACAGGGGGTATTTTCGATGGTCTTAGAAATTAAGCCGTTGCGGGTCACCACAACGTGAGGAATTGTATTAAAGGGTTGCGGCATTAGGAAAGTTGAGAACCACTGCTTTAGAAGAATCTTGAGGAAGGTGGAGTTCAGGACTCGTCCTTAAAGAGAGGGAGGAGCCCTATGGAAACATCCTTTCTTTATGAGCACAGTTTTTCTCCTACATCTCCAGTGTTCCTTCTCATTCCAGACATTCAGATGTACATTTGCAACAGAGAACATTATGGTTACCTTCCTGTGCCGCTGAAGCCACACCAGATGCTAGAAGATGAAGCGGACAATATTGTTCACATGCTAAGTGAAGCGATGAGTAAGTTCCATGTTTGGCTGACATCCCTACTATTTTGGTTTCCAATGATACAAATCTTGTGTTTTTATTGTGTTCTAATTAAGCTATTCGGCAGTGAATACATTTTGGAAACAAACATTCCCACCCCTCTGTCCCATTATATCAATTCCTTAGATAATAGGTTAAAACTTCATGGGTCCAAAGGATGGAAAATAATGCATGTTGATTATCTGAAGAACTTTTTTAATATATATTTCTGTGTAAACTGCTAATTCGTTTTTAGATAGATTTTAAAAATAGCTATTACAAGTGGCCAGCCATTAGATGGCAGCAAACTGTAAGCTCTGGAGTTTTGCCACCTAGATATAGTAGCCCTACTATTTGTTTGCCACATTGATTTTGATCATGACAGACATAAACATTTCAATATTGCATCATCTATTATTGGGCCAGAAACATGCAAAGCATGGAATAATGAATCTAGTGCCATTAGCTGTCAAGGTCCTCTTGTCTGGCTTAAAGCACTTTTGTCAGGGTGGCAAATCAGAAGCTAAGTAGACCCATGTTAAACCACACTATAGTTTGATATTGACTTAGTATGCTGAGTCAATGTTTTGAAACAACCATGGCTTGGCCCAAAATACTTATCAGTATCCATCACTGCGAACCATAGAGGGGCTATGTAGCTCTTCAGATTTAAAGAGGAAAAGGCAGTCTGGGGTATACAAGAATCCATGAAGCACATATTGGCAACTCCTTAAGCAGCTGTGTCTTTTTGTGGAATTGCACAGCTGCCTTGCAATCTTTGAAAAAGATGCATTTGGTTAAAGGCATTGACAGATGTTACACAGATACAGACACATACACCAAATCGTATAGACCCCTAAACTATGATTAACCCTAATGGGAGCTGATGCTGTAATTTGAATTGGGGACCACAGTTTTGATGGCTGAGTCTTGGATATTATTTACACAGCTGTCTCACTTGTTTTAACAAATCACAGTGCCAAATTCCTGGTGGCAGGTTAAATTGTAAGCTCCTGAAATCTTTCCTCAAATGCAACCACTTGTGAACCTGCCCACTGTTGTAAATTAAGTTTAATAAGACTACATTTATTGTAAGGAAGGAAGTGTACTCATAGTAATATAGACCCCAGAAAGTTGTTAATCTATCAACCAGCCCCAATGTGAAACCCCGCCATTGGAGCCCAAGCCAACTGGCAGAGCCAGGTTTTTAAGCTCTTGTGGAAGATCAGGAGGGTTGGTGCGGACCTTGGTCTGGGGGACAAAGGCAGGTGCAAGGGCAGAGAAGTCTTTTTACCTGGACTCCACCTGCCAGAATACTTGGCCGATGGGGCCCTCAGCATGCCTCCTCTGCCACCAATGGTGGGGTGGGCCAATCCCAGTGGGATGAGACAGTCCTTCAAGTAGCCTGGACCCATGTTATGAACAGCTTTAAATATTACCAACACCTTGAATTGCACCTGTAAACCGGCATCCAGTGCAATTAGCAAAGTAGGGGTGTTACATGGACCATTTTTGGCACCCCAAAAACTGCACTGATGGAGGCTACACCAGCTCTGGCTTCAGAAAGCTGCATATTTGGAAGTGCAGCCTTTCAAAAATCAATAATAGTCCATTGTTTGAAAAAGAGTTGCATGGTCTGCTTTATTCATAAGCCTTTATTCCTTTGCTGTAGCAATACCCTAACTACACTTACAAAGGACTATGTTTCAAACTAAGGAAGAATTCCTCTTGCTATATGCTACTGACTAGTGCCTCACAGCTATGTTGCTCAGCAATACACAGAGCTCAAGTCTCTTTTACTCAAAGCATGAATACATTTGAAAACTATCAGCCTCAGTGTAATGTAATAGGTTTAATGTTCTTAATCTCTTCCAGTTGACCATCCTCCAATTGAACCCTCCAAGTTTGTCACAGTTCCTCCAAAACACCCTGAGAAGATGGGATTTGATGAGGTAATGCAAGAAAGGAGGCCGTCTCACTCAGCCTGCCAAGTTTTACAAGAGTGAAAAAGTCTGAGGCAACATTCAGTTGGAGTTTAACACAGAGCTCAATAACTTCCAATACTGAATGGCTCACCCAGCCTTCCCTAAACTAAGGGTCTCCTGATGGTTGAGCTTCAGCTATCATCATTCCTAGAAAATGTGGCCAAATATGTTGGTTGGGGATGATGGGAACCAAAGCATCCCATGAATATAATATGACTCAGCCTTTCATTCTTCCCAGGTTGGTAAAATGAGGACCCAGATTGTTGGGGGCAATAGGCTGAATCTGTAAAGCACTATGAAGCAGTATTAGAAGCCTAAATACTATGGCTATACAAAAGCTAGTTTCTTTTCCTCAGTAGGGGTGTCAAACTGCTGGCCCGCAGGCCAGATGCATCATGCACAGGTCACGCCCACCCCAGCTCCACGAAGGGAAAAAAAACATCGCAATATGTCACGTGATGGGGCGAGTTTGACACCTGTGTTCTAGAGCAAGCAGGGATTTAGTATCTACTGTAGAGCAGCATTACATGCCACAAAAATCAATTTTCTAAATTTGTTTTTCTCTTAAATGTGCTATGGAAAAGATCTTAGGAGAAAATTGATTGTATGGTGATACTTAATCTACATCTTTCTGACAATTCCTCATGGCAAATATTGCATCATTGGTTTTGAATTACATTTCCTGGAGCCCACGAGTATTCTAGTCTGAGGATTACCATTAATTTGAAAACTATTGATTCAAGGACTCACCGCATAATTAGATGAAGAAATAGAAGTAGTCCTGTAGATTTACAATTAATTATAACTGAGCCAAAAATTTCAATTGCTAAGCAAGACAATTTGCCTTTAACCTGAAGCATCTGGATTTCTGAGAGTTCTCCATGTATGGTTAAAATATAGAGGTGCTGTTTGGTTGTGGGATAGCTATACCATATATGGAACCTGGTCAGTCTGTATTACTTTTTTATATTAATCTTATTTTTTATTTTATCTTATTTGTGATCACACTTTATTTCCCAGCCTTGTTTGAAGGAAGTTACTAGAGCATGTTCTGCCTAATTGAGCTTGAGTTGCATCTTCATACTTATTTTCTTTCGCACACTCACAACATAATTCTGTTGGTTGATTTAATTCTCCTGGAATCCCTTCTCTGATATCCATCATTTATGTGGGTTTGTCAGTCAGCCCTGACTCTTAGTTCTTAAAGCCTCCACATTTAGCAACAAGGGTCTGCTGTTCAACCACAAATTCCGGGTACAATTTTACTGAGAATGCATTATTATAGGCTACTCTGAACTAGCCATGTTGTGGTGTGGAATTCTTCAGTCCACCCTGATCCACCAGTACTATCTTTGCTGAGATAGTCTGCATTTATTTTATTTCCCACACAATCACAGTTCATTCGATTAGAAGGGAGCAGGGGCTGATATTCACTCACTTTCACTCCTTCTATGTCAAGGCTGCTCTTTTTTGCTTGCCTGTCTGCACACGCACAAATAATACTCTTGCCTCAGCAGACTATATTTGTGAGGGAGCAGCTCAGACCTTACTACCTTCTGCCCATACACTCTTCTCTTTTTCTTTTCATCACAGAATGAACTCAGAGTTAAGAGAGGATAGTTCTTAATAAGTCTGGCAGAATAATTAAAAAGGCACACACTTTCCTTTTTCTTTTTTTTTTCTTTTTTAAGATGGCGGCTGCGGCTGCACGTGTTTGTAGATGGTGCTCTGAAGTGTTGTGCAGAGAGGGTTTTGGAAAGTTTGGAATGTAGAGTTTGGCGTGTGGAAGTGGAGGAGTGTTTATAGAAAGGCAAGAGGGAGACAAGCATAATAAGCTTACTGGGAGGCTGAAGATTTGTTGGAAAAAAAAACGGAGAGGTGAAAAAACAGAATGGCCGAGAGGTTGAAGAATGGAGAGGTAGGAAAAGGGCAGCTGGAAGGAGAGATGGAGCAGAGGAGGTGGATGATTTATGATTGTGTGGCTTCCTTGGACTCCCCTTGGATCTCTTTGAACTGTCTTAATGTGCAGTAATCAGCTGAAGCTAAATCCTGGTCTGAGAACCCAAGAGCCAACAGCTGCAGTTCTGAATGATGGCGTAGATCTTCTGTTGGAGGCAGAGCTGACAGAAGAAACAAGCTTCACTAGCCTTCGTAGGCAGCTGGGCCTATTCATGTGGTTAATAACACTGTGGAGAGTGGCAGGTGCCATTGGGATTTTTTTTGCGGCAAGTGGGAGCCTGGAACTCTATGAATTTCAGGAGACATCGTAGGACTACATAGCTGCTACAATTTCTAGTGCAGCATAACAGGCCTTTTGGCTACTTTTCCGACTACTTTCTAGAATCTTCTGAATGTTCTATAATCAGGCCTGGGAAGGCTGCTTGGGGAATCCAGGGGCTGGAAGGGAAAGTTGGGTGAGAGGTGAATGTGTTGGTTCCTCTCCCCGGGTGAGAGCTGGTGGGGGAGGAGTGGCTTCCTGCTTGGTGGGTAAGAGCGACTGGGCAGGGTGCCATTTGTGCATTGAGTAAATGTATTATAAGTGTGTTGGGAGATAAGGGGGTGCTGGACGTGACCCCTCTGCGGCAATGAGGAAGGGATGGTGTGAGTTTGAGGGCTCCAAGACCAAGCGCCTTGTAAGGCTCACCTTGCCCATGACAGTTTGTCAGTTGTAGGAGGTTTTTCCCTTTTTAAGGAAGAGTGTTGAGGATGGGGGATGGAATGGTTCTCAGGAAAGGCAGAGGAGGGTGACCTATTTTAGTGGTGTTGGGTAACGGGAGATATGGGTGGCAAGCGGGGGGACAGGCACAGGCAGGCACCTTGGTGTTTAGTACCGGTCTTGTGTTCTGCTCCCTTGCACTCACCTCATTTACCTGGTCATTTACCTGGTTGGAAGGTTGTTGATGAAACAGATTATTTAGACCCCCACCAGTCAGGATTCAGGCCTGGATTTGGGACAGAAATGGCATTGGTTGCACTTTTGGATGATCTCTGGTGGGCCCAGGATGGGGGTAGTGCATGCATCCTTGCTCTATTTGACCTCTCATGGCTTTCGATACCATCGACCATGGTATTCTCCTGGAGCGGCTTCGGGGGATGAGAGTGGGAGGCCTTGTGCTATCCTGGTTCACTTCCTTCCTCTGTGGCTGCTCTGTGTTGATAGGAGGGGAGAGATCCAGCCCTTGTCCACTGCTTTGCGGGGTTTCGCAGGGCTCGGTACTCTCTCTGCTCCTGTTCATCATTTATATAAAGCTGCTGGGTGAGATCATCCGTCACCATGGACTGAGGTATCACCACTATGCCGATGATACTCAGCTGTATGCCTCGGCCCATGGTAAGTTAAGCAATGCCGTGTCCTCCCATTCGCAGTACCTGGAGGCCGTTAGGGGCTGGATGGGAAGCAATGGATTGAAACTAAACCCTGGCAAGACCGAATGGCTCTGGGTTTGAGGTTCATTGGCTATGGGAGAATTACCACCTTTGGTCTTGGGTGGGGTGGCACTACCCCAAACAGACCCTGTGCATAACCTGGGGGTTCTCCTGGACTCACGACTCCTGCTCAAAGAGCAGGTGGCGGTCGTGGCCAGGACAGCCTTTGCGCAACTATGGGTTGTGAGCCAGTTATGTCCTTTCCAGGACCAACAATCCCTATTCACAGTCACTCATGCCCTAGTCACTTCCCAACTTGACTATTGCAACATGCTCTACATGGGGCTGCCTTTGAAGAGCATTTGAAAACTCCAGTTGGTGGAAAAATGCTGTGGCCCACATGGTTTTGTACAGGCCCCAGTGTGCACATGTATCACCTACTGATTTGCTTCTGGGTGCAATTCAAGGTGGTGGTTGTCACCTTTAAAGCCCTTCATGGCTTGGGATCAGGTTATCTGAGGGACTGTCTCTTGCCGGTCACATCTACCCGACCCATCAGAGTGGGGAGGCAGGGAATGGTGCGGTTTCCATCCCTTAGGATACACCTGATGGGACTCAGAAGAAGGGCCTTCTCTGTGTGGCCCCCTCTCTCTGGAACAACATTCCCCCCAGAGATTAGATTGGCCCCCACTCTAGCACTCTTCCAGAAGGCGTTGAAGACCTGGTAGTGGGCCTGGGGAACCCAGAGTGGGATGGAGCCCATTAAATGGCTCGTGTGAGGTGCTGTCGTGGGGTGGAGCTGATTTTATTATATTAATTTATTATATGCCTCTTATTAGTTTTATTGTTTTTATATGAGATTTTATATTCTGTAAGCCACCTTGAGTTGCTATGTGCGAATAGGTGGCAATATAAATTCCATAAATAAATAAATAAACAAACAAACAAACAAATAAAATACACAAAGAATTCAAGGCAGAGAATGTGATCCTCATATAGGCAATCTCAGATTTAGTTATCAAAGTCACCAAATCTGGCCACAGACCTCCATCCCCATATAGGGGGGATGCCCTTTTCCTTGAAATTGAATTAATAATTCTCCCCTCCTCTAAGATGGCCATTCTCTATTTTAGCATTGGCTGTCAATAAAACTTGGGGGGGGGGGGACAGCACATGCTATTCTTACGGTATTCATCCATGCTTCTGGTCTCTTCCTTTCTAGATTTTTATGATCAATCTGAAGCGTCGGAAAGACAGACGGGATCGAATGTTGTGGACTTTATATGAACAGGAAATTGAAGTCAAGCTAGTGGAAGCTGTGGATGGGAAGTGAGTTGACTTGGTAAACATTGCCAGACACGGAGTTGTAAAATTGGGGGGGGGGAGGAGTGTTTGGGCCACCTAGTTTAAGGACTGCAAGAAATAAAGTACTGTATGTGATTAGGGATACATTTATCAACTATTTCTCAATTATTCCCCTCAGTCAGTACATCAGTACGTGTGAGATGCGCCCATTGATAAAGGCAACTCCTAGTATCTCTGTCACATTGTTTCTGCTCCAGCCTTGCTACTGACTTGCTTTGCCAAATGTGAGTCATGCTGTGTATCTCTGTGCTTGGGAAGACTAGAGCATTAAATCAAGCTTGATTCAACAACATTCTTGCTCTGAAAAATAATTGCCTGCTATCTCTCTCCCCGAGACACTGTTCAGAAGCTTACTGTCTCCTTAATAAGTTTTTGTGTGTGCAGATATATGGTGTATATAGTTGTCAGGGGATAGATAATTCTCAATTGAGCATCTTCTTTAATCTCTTTAAAGAGCAAAAATATTTGTCTCCCACCACCAGCTATTAAAAATAGTATTTTGTACACAACAGAGTCTCACATTATCTTTAACTAATCAACACTTTCCTCCTCATTTGTAAAACTGGGGAATTTTTAGTATCTTGGAATCAAATTTAACCATGTTTTCTTGTTCATTTCACTGGTGCTTGTCTAGGAATCATTTTCTCTGCTGAATTCCCTATAAGAATTCTACAAATCCAGCTGAATTCTCCTTCAGTGGTCAAATTCTGTGCATTTCATATTAGGCACAATTGTGCAAGGCAGAATCCACATTTTTATTGAGTGCTCAAAGTGTTACAAATGAGATCTTGTAAAATATGTAGTGAGAATTGGCAGTACCACTTTTGACTGCAAGTAGAAATAATTATTTTAAAACGCTGGTTTATGAAAACAATGCTTTGAAAGCTGAAAGCTAGAATGTTAGAAAAAAAGAGAGTAATAATTCCTATTTTACCACACTGCATTGATTTCTATCTGTAGGGAGGGGTTTTGTTTTTTTGCTACACATTGTACAGATACATCACCTTATGAGTTTTTCTTAATAGGTTGTAGTTTTCCTTTCCATCTTGAAAATATGTGGCTAAGGAATTTAATCATTGTCTCTTGCAGGATGCTGAATACAAGCCAGCTGAAAGCTCTAAAAATAGATATGCTTCCTGGTTACCAGGATCCATACTCTTCTAGAGTTCTGACCAGAGGAGAGATTGGCTGTTTCCTTAGCCACTATTATATATGGAAAGAGGTAACCAAAATTTGCGTATCTTCATTGTAATTGGCAGAAATGCTTCCTGTCCTTTCCCCTCTCGTCACCTCCTTTTTGCAAATCTTGAAGAAAGACTCATGATGATGGATCGCTTGGAAGACAGGCATTTCCACTGGTTTACTTGCATTCTTCCAGAGAAGGCATTCTTCCACAGATAAACAACTCATGGGACAATTTTATTACAGCTTTTTCTAATATGGTGGTTAATAAATATAAATGTTTAGACACTGCCCAACCCAACTCTAGAAAGTATACAACAAAACCAAACTGAATGAAAATATAGTGCAATAATTATGAAATATATTAAATGGGTACAGAAAAACAAGAACTGAAGGAGAATATGGCTAACCATATTCACACCGAATCCAGCAGGAACCCCAAGCACCCTAATCCAAGGCCCAGCAGAATCTTTTACTCTTTCTGACTCACATGGATTTTGGAGGGAGGACCCTTATTCCAGAAGACATGCTTCCTGGATCCTGACAGATGAGATTGATTAATTAATTGAAGGGACCCTGAGCATGTCAACTCATGTCAGATCAAACTGGCAAGGCTGCTAGACGCATAATAAACAATCCCTCAAGTTACCAGGCCCTATGCAATATAGAGAACTGCGGTAATAGGACATAACTTGAAATGCACTTGGAAAAATACTGGTCCACCCATGAGGGGATTAGGGCATGAGCGATTGTCTTAATTTAATCTGAATTATTTCAAATTGTTACTTTAAGATAGTAAGCAGGGAGATGGAGAAGTGCCTAGTCATCGAAGATGATGTACGCTTTGAGCATCAGTTCAAAAAGAAGCTCACAAAGCTAATGGATGACATTGAGAGAGCACAGCTTGACTGGGATCTCATGTAAGTAATAATCCACTAATCTTGCTTCTGAATGTCTTCCCTTCCGTGGAATTGAATGCTCCCTATTAAGGAAAGAGCACCCATTTGGAGGCGTTTGAGCTTCAAAATAACAGCGAATAAGGAGAAATAGGGAAGTGGATTCTAAAAGTTGCAGAGTGAGAAAAATCAGATAGGGAGGCGTTTTTGTCTCATAATGCAGGTAGTCCTCGATTTATAGCGGTTTGTTTAGTGAACGTTTGAAGTTAAAATGGCACTCAAAAAAGTGACTTAGGACCATTTTTCACATCGCCATTGCAACATTCCCACGGTCATGTGATCAAAGTTCAGGCGCTTGGCAGCTGACTCGTGTTTATATGACAGTTGCAGTGTTCCCAAGGTTGTGTGATCGTCTTTCCAACCTTCTGACAAAAGAGCAGAATCACTGGGGAAGGCAGACTCACTTCACAATCATGTTACTAACTTAACAAGTGCAGTGGTTCACTTAAAAAGTCGTAAAGTAGAGCATAACTCACTTAACGAATGTCTCACTTAACCACAGAAATTTTGGGTTCAATTGTGGTCTTAAGCTGAGGACTACCAGTAATTGAGGATGCCAGGAAATTTAAAACTAAAATAAGGAGATTTTTTTTTGCTGACTATTTTAGTATAACCTTCTGAATTAATTACCATAAGATGTAATGATAGCCATTGACATGAAGATGTATGGCACAGGTCCATAGAGGATAAAACTACCAATGGCTGCTAATCACAATATCTGTATGTTGTACTTAATCGTCTTTTCAGTCCCAGTTGTTGGGGTATACAAGTAAGACAGTGCTTTTCATCCATTGTCTACATGAAGGATCCCACTCTAGGAGTGAAGATTGGACCAAGTGGCTTTTGATCCAACGCAGGAATTGGGAAGCTTTTATGTTAACTCCACATCTGTCTGTTTTCTTTTTTAATGTTATTAATTCTTACTAGTTCTTTAAAAAAGATGGTTCTCATGAAGCTCCTGGTGATCTTCTGGCCAGAGAGCTGGCACCAAGGTGCTAAACTTAGATGTTTCTACACTGCATCATATCGGCCAATGACATCTGGGTTCAGTGACTCAACTTTCTCTCTCTATGTAGATATATAGGTCGGAAACGGATGCAGGTGGAGCATCCAGAAAAGGCTGTACCCAATGTGATGAATCTTGTGGAAGCTGATTACTCTTACTGGACACTGGGCTATGCAGTCTCCTTGCAAGGAGCTCAGAAGCTAATTGGAGCTCAGCCTTTCAACAAGATGCTCCCTGTAGATGAATTCTTGCCAGTCATGTACAACAAGCATCCAATGTAGGTTATTGGTTGTGATTACTGTACTTGCATGAGGTGTATGCTAGCTTTATACTAGGATGCATTCAACAGCAATATTTATCTTCTTATCAGTAAATAGTTGCTTCCTGTAGTCACTTTGAAGCTTCAGGTTTATGGGATACTTTTTAGCGGGGGTTGAACATCACTCCTCCTACAGCTGGTGCTGATTCTATTATCTCTTCAACAGTCCTTCTATAAATGGCAGTTTTATGTGTGTGTGAAATGACTGGCCATGATATAAATGGGAAAGCTTTGTGGGCAGAGCTCATCTGTACTGGGCACATTGTTTCTGGGAATATGAAAACCAAGTCACATTTTTTTACATTTTAATAATTGTATATCTATTTTCTTTCATGCAGACCCTCAGGGCCGTTGACAAAATTAAAACTTTTAACCCAAAGTTAGAATGTCATTAAATATCCTATTAATTCTAATCTAGTCAAGTATGACAAAAGTGATAGAATTGGCCCAATTTTTGAAAGGCTAAGAAAAGTGTTCCACAGTCTGGGAGAATGGCAGGTGGCTGGGCTTTTGATAGCAGAATGTTTTCAGAAGGCTTTTCCCACCAATCTTCAAGATAGAGAGCTGTTTTATGGTTTTATAGATTAGTTGTTCCCGTTAAGCAAACAACAAGCGTTGTGAACCTTTGATCCCTATTCCTGGCAGTTAGGTTAGCAGCCTTGTTGCATTATTTTGCACAAGTTGTCACTTCCAGGCATTTTTCATGAGCAGCTGTACATGGAATGCTTTATAAAGATTATGTTGAATGTTTTTAAAGATTAGACGAAGTCAAGGAATGGCTAAATATTGCTTAATGTCACCAGCTTGGGGAGGTTTGCAGCCGGTACAACTAAGGGAAATTGCATAAAAACACACTCCTTTACACCTGCTTTGCCAGTGCCAGCTGAGGTTCAGTGAGCACTCCCAGACCGCAGAACTGTTTTTTTTTCAAATGTATAATTCCTTTCAAAGTTCAGATTCCTGTGAGGTGTTCAAACTCACCGTGTCATGTTGCCATCGTAGCGTTTTGCGATATTTTTCCCATTCACGGAGCTGGGGTGGGCATGGCCTGTGCTGATGCATCCAGCCCATGGTCCACCAGTTGGACACCCCTGCTATAGAGCAATAGCATATGGTCTTTTCTGGATTTAATTTCAGTTTATTCTTACTCAGCCACCCCCTTATTGAAGGAAGGGTACTGAATTCTGTCCAAGATTTAATTATCTGAGATACTATAGTTAATAACTAAATCATGAGTTGTTGTTCTCCAATATTTCCTTCTAGACTTGGCCCGATATGAAAAAATGCAGTTGCTGCAGACCTTCACAAAGTCTAGTCCCCTAGCAAGTCTAAAAGAGAACCTTAGTTGATAATACTAAAAGCCTCCAAGATAATTGAGGGCTGCGTTTGTTCCCTTGGGTTTCTCATATAAGTCGTCTACTAAGATGACCCAAATGGTCTTGCCACCATAGTCCAAATGGAAGCTCAAATTATTGCATCTCCATACACATTTAAAGTTTCAGGGGATATTGAAGTGCTTTAATAAGGTCAAGTCATCTTATGAGGAGACCAATGATAACTTCAGATATCTTTTGATATCTTTTAGCTTGTGAATGTATTTTGTATTAAAACTTGATTACATTTCTTTCAATCAAAATTTGAAGTTAGGGAAATTACAGTATATTTGGAAGAATATCATTAGTGCTACTTAGTTGTGCACTAATTTACTGTATATACTCGAGTATAAGCCTAGTTTTTCAGCCCAATTTTTGTGCTGAAAAAATCCCCCTCGGCTTATACTCGAGTCAGATTCCCCTCTGAAAAAAAAAATGGTGTGGAGTCGCGGCCTCCGGCGGCAGCGACTCCCAACAGCCCCAGCCGGGAAGGGAAAGGCAAAAAGCGCTTTGCCTTTCCCTTCCCGAGGCGGCGGGACTGGGGCCGCGCCGGCGGTAGTGACTCCTGACTCAGGGGGCCTCTGAGGGAGGGGAAGAGAGTGACTCCTGCCTCCCGCTGTCATCATCATCTTCTTCTTTTGGGTTAGTGAATCAATTAAACCTTTCATGATAGTGAGATCGTTTCCCAAATTAATTATTTTTATTTTTGAAATTTACCAGTAGCTGCTGCATTTCCCACCCTCGGCTTATACTCGAGTCAATAAGTTTTTCCAGTTTTTTTGTGTAAAATTAGGTGCCTCGGCTTATATTCGGGTCGACTTATACTCGAGTATATACGGTATGTTTCTCCTTTGCTTAACAATTTGGTTGTGGACCAAAGTCTGCCAAAGTCTTACAGTTAGTGTTGAACTTGGTCCTTGTTCCTCAGTTTTTTAAAATTATTGACCATGTGTGACGTGTTTATTTTTACAGTGCTGGTCTGTAAGGACCTTTATGTTGAAAAATGGCTTATAATTGTAGAAAATATACCAGTCCTCCCAACATTTAAATATATTATCCGTATATATTTAAGTTGAGGGGTGTGAATATAGATTTACAGCATTGATAAGGAGTATGTTAAATGGGCCACTGTTTATAATCATAAGTTTGTTCTGCTGTGGGGTATAAAAGATATCAAAAATTGGAAATGAGGTAACACCTTTCTTCTTAGTGACTTTTCTTTTCTTTTTTAAGAGCCAAATACATGGAACATTATGAACCTAGAGATTTGAAAGCTTTCTCGGCAGAGCCTTTGCTGATATATCCAACACACTACACTGGACAACCAGGTTACCTCAGTGACACAGAGACATCTACAATCTGGGACAACGAGACTGTGGCCACTGATTGGGACAGGACACTCTCCCGGAAATCACGGCAACAGGACCAGATCCATAAAGATGCCCAGAACAAGAATGCCTTGCCACCTAGACCTTCCCTTGATGCATCATCCACCAGAGATGAACTATGACTGTTAACTAGATCAGCTACAAGTTACTGGAAACATCAGAGGGACTTCTACAATTTCCAGAGATACAGATATGCTATCTTGCTTGGCAAAATAGTTTGATATGACTCACTTGAACTAAGCAAGGCTTGTCTCATTTTTGCAGGGTGAGTAGATGAACCTGACTGAATCAAGGGTAGTATACTTTAAAACAATTTTTGAAAAGGAGGCCTGGTTTTTGCTGATTGGCTTGTACTAAAGGAAATTCTATAGAGCTGTTGGAGGACTCTAAAAGGAAACGAGGACAAAGATTCCTCAACCAATGTCTTTCCACAATTCTTGGTGTAGATTTATTGTATTTATAAAAAGTAATATATACAAGAGTTAGGAAGGAGCTACCAAGTTTTTCCGTGTTAATTATTGGTCTATTGTCTGCTGCATTGCCTGAATTCTTGCTGGTTTCGATTTTGTGAACTATATTCTGAGGCAGAAATGTTAGGACGTTCCCATTTCTACAGTGAGGTTAAATGCTAAATAATGTGTCTTGAAATAATCAGACGATGGACAAGATTTCCTTTATGTTCACCATATGAATTCCCACTGATATTATTTGCTTTCATGTTTAAATCATAAGCTATGAAGAATAACTCATTTGTCATGAGAATGTCTGGAGTTCACAATTTTTAATATTTATCAATAATTTTCCATCTTTATCCTTCCACACTTTCATGAAATTTAGTGAAGATCTCTACTAAATGGAAAACCAAGAATTGAGCAGCCTGTAAATAGACCACACATCTTCCTCAGCCAACAGCTGAGAAGATAGAAAAGAATATACAGTATGTAGCTTAGGGCTGAACTGTGGAGTCCTCAATGTCATAAGCAGAAGAGGCCACCTAGTCAAGTAATGAAATGTCTGCAAACAACCAAACTCAGAGAACATCAAGGACTCCATAGCACATGGATGAGTTCCATTACAAACTGGATTTGAAGAGTAAAAGTTAAATATCCTTTTGAACACTGTTCTCATTGATAGTTTTGAGACACACTTTCACTCACAAATGATACTGTTGTAAGCACTAACACTGTTGGTAATTTATCCTTCATGCTTTTGATAGAGGAAGAATTTCAGCCCACATCTGTAACAGGCCGAATCCAGAGATAAACAACGAATAATGGATTTGAAAATAATAATTTCCTTTTCCAACCCCTGAAAAATCTGATGGTGTTAAGCATTTTGATGTAACCATTGTGTCTCTTTGATGTTATTTGCATGTGAACTAAAGGACACATGGCCACTCTTTTCTTTTTATAATGCTCAAACTTCATCGTTTGAAATGAGCTGTAATATTCGCTCCACTGAAGAACATCTCCATATGCAAAGTCTTCATATTTAGAACACCCCGCCCCCCCAAAAAAAGTTGTCTGTGTTCATTTACTTCAAGAGGTTTTTTTTCTTTTCCTAATGTAGACTTCTGAGCTGAATAGGGGGAAAATGTTTAAAAACACAATCAAAAGAATCTGTGTGTGTTGAACTTGTTACAGATATTCTACCCAGGAATTGCTATTCTTAGAAGAAATAACAATCTAATTGTATGTTTTTCTAAAAGACATGTTTGCAGCTTATCAGCTGGTCTGATAATATATATAGCAATGAGTGCAATATTTGATGTCTTGGTCATTTATTTATGACTTTAACATAGCATCGCAGTCTGGAGTGATCTATGGGAATAGGAAACTGGTTTGAAGCTTTATTTAGCTAAAGAAACATAAAATGATTTGAATCCTGAACCTACAGATTGAATCTTCAACATCTCTTGCTGCTCTGTAACACTTTTATTGTACTACATTACATTATATCCAACAAGAACAACCTGATTCTAGAACTTTCCAATGTTCCCTTACTATGCCCAAAATTAAGGAAAGCCCTCATGGTCATTTTTTGTCATACTTCATATAATTTTTAAAACAAAATTCCAATCTTCACAGGAATAACGGGGCATATAATTTAGGATCAAGTAGGTAGAATTGCAACAGAAAAAGTTAATGAGAGGCAAAGTGATTTTTTTTAAAAAAATCTGAACTTCCAAGTCTGTACCTGGTGATTTATATATTTATTTATTGGCAGAATAGGCTTTGGGTATATTCCATGTATGCTGTGGCATTGTTTTTCCTCTTCTGTTACAATTCATCAAAACAATAATGGGGTGGGGAAATGTGATGGGTCAAAATACATTTTCGGAAACACTTTATGCTGAAGTAGCAAAGGACTATAGAAATCAAATGGAGGAAAAATATATAATCTGCTGCCATCGGGAATCAGCAGAGCGGATATGTGTTAAAGAAGTGGGTGTTATTATCATACCTCTTTGATCCTTTTCGTTTTTTTTAAAGAAGCAGTTGTGTTTTCTATGTGATCTATGTCCCTACAATTTTAGCACAATATGTTTTATACCAGGAAATGAATAGACAGTTTCTTAAAAGAAAGGGTGATGGATAAGTACAGAAGATTGCTATGCCAGCAAAAATCATTGAAATAATGGAGGGCATTTTTAAAAATCATCTGTGTGATACAATGAAAATGGCTAATTTGTCTGGGGGGATTTGAACCAACTCAAAATCCTCTCATCAGTCAGAAGTAAAGGTATATATGTTTATTATTTAGGCATATGGCAAACACTTATAAATCTGCTTCAGTTTTCTAGATGTATTGTAACTGCAGGGCCCAGTGAGCTTGTCCAGAGACTGGATAAAAATTCTCTGAGTTAGTTTCAAGCATATTTGGGAGACCCCAACACATGCAGGCAGAAATCTAATGCCAGCCAGTAGGGAGGTGTGAAAACATTGGGGGGGGGAGGGGGTTCACGTGGTCTCAAGACCTTTTATCCATTAAATAAGTTCCAGAAATGGATTAATCCTCTAAACTGGACTGGGGCTTATGTATCTAACTTTCCTCTCATACTAATTGGAATTGGGAAAGAGAAAAATAACTGAGGAGAGAGAATGAGTCTACCAAACATTCCTCCCATCCTAGCAACCGGGAACTAAAAAGACTTTGAAAGCCGTGATGGATCCTATTTTATACTCACCACATAGGACTGGAAGCTTGTAATTCTGTGGTACAGGGCTATTTAGTATTCACAACCCAGCTGAATTCATGATTCAAAGCACTACCAAATCAAGAGGTAAAATAATTCTTGAAACACTGGAATTAATGAGATGATTATTGTTCTAATCCGTGTTAGATCTAAAATTCTATATACAAAGTTTAGATAGTGAAAGTGGGTTGGATGTTTTATTTTTATACTGATAGTTTTTTTTAAATAAATCTTTTAATAAAGATTCAATGAATAGGTTAAATCATAGGGATAAATAAAAGACTGTTTTATACAACAATTGTTAAACATTCTTGTCTTTGTTTAGAAAAAATGGTCAGTACAAGCATAACAATATAAAAATCTAGCTAATTCTACTGATAAATACAATATGTGCATATACTTACCCACTTAGCTCTTATGTGTATTGCTTATTTTTCACCAGAAAACTTAGAGAATGGGTTTTCTGAATATTCTGGATACTTTTAAAGCTTACTGTTAAATAAATATTTGTATACATACATACATACATACATACATACATACATACATACATACCCTGTTTCTCCAACAATATGGCCTCCCCCAATAGGAAGTCCCAGCATGTTTTATAGGCATGAAATGAAATTAAGCCCCTCCCCCCAAATTAAGGCCTATATTAAAACATGCGAAATGGGGGGGAATGGTGGGGGGGGCTTGCCATTAGGAAGTACTTTTGTGGCACACCCGGATATGGTGCTGCCTGCGTTGACCCCGATACGAAGTGCCCCACCAACGCCGAGGTCAACATCCAAGCCGTTGCCACCCGCCCACCCAAAGATGCAAGGGGGGGAATTAAGTCACCCCCGAAAAGACAGCCTAGCCATTTTTTCAGGGCTCAAAAAAAAATAAGACCCGGCCTTATTATATGAGAAACACGGTACATACATATCAAGCTCTTCTATCCCAGAGTGAGTAATCTTATGCCAAACACAAAATGAGTAAGAAACAGGAAGACAAATAAGTAAAATGTATGGAATAAGAAAAAAATAGATAAAACTAGATTACCCTACCATCACTATATCTCACAGTATTCTTCTATCTTCAGAAACCATTCTTATTTCCCCAATATTCACGTGCCTTGCTTTACACATTGCTTTTTGTTGTTAAAACTTTTGTTCCCAACAGTGAAAAATATATATGTAGCTCAGGGTTGAACTGCTGGGTCCCAGGGTTTTCCTGTGTTTGTTATCTCTGAAGAAGTTATCTAGCCCGTTAATGAAATGGAACCTAATGGTCTTTAAACTTTAAACTTCTCTCTTTTAAGGTCATCATCAACTTGATCCAACTACAACATTTTTTATCTTCCCCTTCCCTTGAGTCATTCATCCTTCACATACTTGTTTTGCAATTTGATCTTCATTCATATTCTGTACATGGCAAAGCCTCAAAACACTGGCCATTCAATCTTACATTCATTTTATATTTGATTAAGATTCATTCTTGACCCTATCTGCATTGGTACTGCTAAGTAAAGCTTCCCATTGCATTCAACTTAATTATTCTCTTAACCTCTCCAATTCCCATACCCCCTCCAAAAAATCTTAGCTTTTTTTTTCTTTCATTCTTCACAGAAATCACCCAACATCTCACCCAACATCTATTATCCTACTACCAACATTTGTACTTCCTAATATTTTCCCATCCATTTCCCCCTCTGTAGTAAGCTTTCTACCAAGGTAAACAAAACTTACCCACTCAATGTAGATTTTTCACCATTTATACAAAACTTGCAATTATTAACTTCATTTTCACCGTGAGCACATTTTCCTTGTTTGTTGTTAGGCTAGTGTTTAGCTTCTTGCTCCTTGTTACATCATATAATTTTTCACCCAATAATGTGACAGTAGCTGCGTATGAAATTGGATGTATGTTTAGGTCTTAAATCAACACACCTCCTTCCATCACCTCAAACGTCCCTTATAAATATGCCAAACAACCAAAGTGATGTCACACCTTGTAATACTGGTAATACTCCCTGCTCACGATGAAGCACTTACATCTTCACATATTGCTGTTACTCATTTTTCCATGACAGGCTGAAGAACTTGACTCAAACTCAGAGTGCACTAAGGACTCCATAAAAATTTGATCTGCATATTCACTGCCCAACCTACAGCCACACTGGGCTCCTCAGTTTTTCCTCACTGTCACCTACTGCAGCTCTTCAGTCAGACTGCTGCCACTCACCTTCCTAACAACACTTAACAGATTAATCCTGCTGTGTTTTGCATTCTTTTCTAGTCGTTTCACTTCTGTAGAGGAAAACAATCACATTGTTCCAATCAACAGGCACAGTCTTCCCAAATATGCTGTCAAAGTTACACACTCCTACTAAAAAGATCGCATGTTTATTTTAATAGTTCGCCAATTATATTAATACACTTTCAAGCCTTCTTATTCAATGTTCTCACATTTACCGTTAGACTCACGTCCCTTTTCCTACATGCTAATTATTTTCACATCCATTTAAATGTCACCCTTTGATATATAAGAATTTCCATACAAATCCCTAAATTATTACTCTTGGCACTCGCTCCATTCAGTTCCATACCAATTCATGTCATCACAATTTTAATTCCCTTCATTCTCCTTGAAGCTCTTTATTTAGCTCATTTCAGCCATTTCAGACAATGTTTTTACTTCCATCTGAATTGTGGTACATTTTTAATCTTAGTGGTTCTTTATTTTCTTAGATACAATTTTTTACCTCTCTTTATACAGATAATGATGGCAATTGGGACTGGAATTGCTCCGCTCAGTGACAATTCCAGCAGTCTTGGTGGCTGTCATTAAGTGACTCATCCTGGGTCATTAAGCAAGGGTATCATATGGTTGCCATTTGCCATCTCCTTCTAGCGTCCCCATTGACATTATTGTTGGAACCCAGCAAAGAAACTCACAAATGGTATGACAGCTAGAACCTGAGGACCAGTTAGAACATGGGTGTCAAACTCACCGCATCATGTTACCATCACGTAACGTATCACGATGTTTTTCCCCTTTGCGGAGCCGAGGTGGGCGTGGCCTGTGCGTGATGCATCCAGCCTATGGGCCACCAGTTTGAAAACACTGAGTTAGAAGTACCACTTGTTCAGTACTGTTGCAAGTGTGAGCAGTCACAAAATCATCAACTGAGGACCACCTGTAATGTATCTTTTCCTCAACATTTTACAGCATTTTGGTCATTCCCAGCCTTTTTCATTTTATTAGTTCATCAAGCATTATTTTTCATTCTTTTCATTAGTTTCCACACACTTTTGTGTAACAAACAA